CCTAAATGGTATTGAAATTTGTCACTTAATCAAAGAACTGTCTAAACTGTGTGCAATTACATTTTAAAAAATTAGAACACAATTTGCCCAGAAGATAAATAATTATGGTCCAATTTTATAAGTGTATCTCCAATTGTTAGAACATGCTTTAAATAGGAGCAAGTATGTACCAATTAATTATAACTTAGAAGATTATTCTTAGCTCATTGTAGAGCTTTATTATTCACTCTTGAAAAAAAAAAAATCCCTGTAAAGGCACAGCACGATTTTAATTAATTTTTTTCTAACTGTTTAATTTTTAACTTTTTTCCCCAAAGTGTTTAATTTTTAAACATGAGCTCTGCTAGCTACATATTTCATTCTCACCATCATATCTCTTAAGCAAGAAAAATAAAGTTAAATAAATTAGATCAGCATTCAAATAAAAGCCATTTAAAGTGATGCTTTCAAAAGTTAATCTTTATCTTTATTCTTCTGAAGTATCCATCAATCATACTAGCTTTTTAAAAATGAGAGCAATCTTGAAGGCCCAGATGAGGTTTAATATAACAAGGGGATATGTTCTGCAGTGTTACTACCTAAGCGGTACTGAAACAATGGTAATTTTATCCACTTGATTCAGTTAATATAGGGGCAAATATTCCGCATGCTGGTCTAGTGTCTTGGAACTGCAATTTTAGAACAACATTTTCCATGAAGCTATAAAATTAAAAAAATCTGTAGACTGGGGAGATTTCACATGTTTAGGTAATGATGAAATACAAGTCCGTAAGGACTGGAGGAAAGAGAAAACAAAAATCCCCACAAATGGAGAAGATTCAATTAGAGGGTTCTCTGTTGAGGCAACAGTTAAAGAGAAATTACTTTGGAGATATTTGCATTTTTGTAAACAGTTTTAATTTCCACAAGAAGAGCCCCCTGTCTACAGTCCTGATTGCAAGCCTCTCACAGGAGTAATTTGTAGCTTTTCATAGCTGTAAGTTTTGTAGTTTCTGAAGCTAAGCCTTTTAAAATCAGTATTTGTTTCGATGTCTTGGTTTGTAGGGGCTGGTTTGTTTTTTTTTTTTTTTGTTCTCCTAATGACTTAGCTTTTAGATAGAGACCTAAAACCTTCCCTGGAGCAATTGCTTGGATGATATTGAGTAGATCTGCTGCAGCACTGCAAGTATGCTATTACTGATTTAGTGGCAATAGAGTTTTCTTAGCAAGAAACATGGTGACATCTAGGCTACGGGCATGAGATCAGTGCCATCACTTATCTTATGTCCTCCTTCCTTCCCAGAGCATGCAAGTGATCCTGCGGTTACTGGCTGCACTGTTGCTAAAATCACCAGTGTTGGCACTTAGAGTGTAAAAGTAGTAGCTGGGAAAGCCCATTGGATTGATATGTTTTACTGTAAG